ACACACACACACACACACATATATTGCAGCAGAAGAAAGCAAGTAATGTAATCCCCTTGTATTTAACAGCAACTAAGGAAAACTTACTCCACTACTCATGCATACAAGTAGTAGTAAACTTGTTCAAGACACAACTGACATATATGATATATTTAATTTTCTAGTTCTTGGGTGCCCCACCTTACTGATGCTGCCCTGAGAATCTGCCTATGTAGCATATATCAAAAACTGCCACTGTATGCATGTTTCCCAAAAATGATTTAACATCTCAAACCATTTTATTCTCAGTTTTCCATATGTTGATATTCAGGAAAGCTATAAGGAAGTCAGAAATGGAACTTGTGCCATGAGGTGGCAGTCTCTTGTTCTCATCTCGCCGAGCAACCGGTGTAATTCATGCATGTGAAATTTTGAGCTTTGAGCTTGTACATGTAGAAGTGAACTCGAGGGCTAGAGACAAGACACAAGAAAGTCAAAGAAATTTCAGCTTTTGTTGCTGTTTGCTGTCACGGAAAATGTTACTCCCAGTTTGTCAAGTCCAAACGTGCTACTTTGAAGTAGGTAATCATCTGCCACAGAAGCTTTTGGGTCAAAATAGTAGTTTGATTAATGATTAATCGCATGCGCTAACAATGGTAGCCCCAATTGCAATACAACATGCATAAATAATTAAAATCTCTTTGTTTTGTTACCATCAAAACTGCTCAGCTTCATGCACATTGTGATGCCATTACAACCAGGGTTTCATTGCTTATGCTGTCTGAGCTGTTTTTGGTCTGCACAGCAGAACTTGGTCTGCCTGCAGCAGTAGGAAAGAGTTGGTTGAAAGCATGTAGCTCTAAAGGTTAGCATGTTTCCTCATCTTGCTGTTGGACATAATACACACAATTAAAAATATGAGACATCAAACCTGGAGTTTTAAATACTTTGTTTCTGTAAAAAATATTTCATAGGAATTTTTCATAGGAAGTGTAACAGATATTTGTTTAGAAAAAGTGAATGTTGTTGTGAGTAAGAGGACATGGTTGTGACCCCTGCTCTGAGGTGGAACGTTGTTTTAGAATGTGGGGGTTGGACGTCCAGCTATTTTTTTTTGCACAAGGATTGATATTAGGATTCATATTCAAATTCAAAAATACTTTAGGGGAATTAAATGTTGTAACTCATTAATTCAGATTCTTCACAGAGTTATTGCAGATGGTGATGGCTGTTGGCAGGAAAGACCTCCTGTAGTGGTCTGTATTACAGCAATTCTGAAGAAGCCTCTGACTGAAGATACTCTGTTTTCCCAAGACAGTCTCATGAAGAGGATGGGGAGGGTTGTCCATAATTTTCTTGATTTTATGACGATTCCTTCTTCACATCTCATCTCTAGAGGTTCCACAGTCGTCCCCAGAGCAGAATCAGCCATTTTTTCAGGCTGTTGAGCCTTTTTAGGTCCCTGGCTCTGATGCTGATTGATGAAAAGATGATGCTCTCAACAACAGACTTATAGAAGATCTGAAGCATCTGGCTGCAAACCTTGAGGGATCTTAGCTTCCTCTAGAAGTCCAGTCTGCTCTGTTGCTTCTTATAGACGCTTCACTGTTGTGTCTCCAGTCCAGTCTGTTGTCCAGATGAACACAGAGGTATTTATATTCCTTAACCACCTCCAGTTCTTTTCCCATGATGGAAACAGGATTTGATCTAACCCTGTTCCTCCTGAAATCTACAATCATCTCCTTTGTTTTATTCACGATTAAGATGAGATGATTGTTCCCACACCTTAACACAAAGCGGTCCACCAGCTCTCTGGACTCAGCCTCTTGTCCATCTCTGATAAACCTGACAACTGCAGAGTCAATTGTGTATTTCTGTAGACGACAGAAGTCAGACTTGTGCTGGACGTCTGAGATGTACAGAGAGAGAAAAGGAATGGTGAGAGTACAGTGCCCTGTGGTGCTCCTGTGTTGCTGACCACCTGGTTAGACACAAAGTCTTTCAGTCTGTTTGTGAGGTAGTCATAGATCCTGGTAATTGTTGAGGCCTCCACCTTTGTCTTCTGGAGTTTCTCACAGAGTAGATCAGGCTGAATTGTGTTAAATGCACAAAAGAAATCATAAACATGATCCTCACAGTGCTTTGTCCAGTGGTGGATCCATGTTAGTTTGAGAATTTATTTATGTTTTCAGTTTCCTGAGCAACCATGAGCTTGTTTAGTGTTCAAGCGGCCCTCTGTGTTTCTGCTGCTGCTTTACCTCCTCTCAGCAGCTTTTGTTTTCAGTATGAAAGGAACCAGCAAAGCATTAGAGTATCACATTTCACCACTAACAACATTCAAGATGTAACTTCTGCTCATGCAGCAAACTCTTTAGGCACAGTGTTTAACCATCTGCCTGGCTGTACCTGTGGGTCCCAGAACTGATCCAGTAGAGCTCTGGAGAAGTAAAACCTGATGGTGATGATCCTCAGGAAAACATCCATGATGCCAAATACGGCTGAGCTTGTAGTTCTCTTATAAATCTCCAAGTAGCCTTCGGTCCTGAGAGAAGCATGTCTGGACTGTTGTCCTCTAACCTTTGTGCTTTCAGCTCCTATGACAGTGAAGGAAGTGCTACAGAGCCTGGTGGATGACAACATGGTGGACTGCGAACGAATCGGCACCTCCAACTACTACTGGGCTTTTCCCAGTAAGGCCTTACATACTCGCAAGCACAAGCTAGAGGAGCTGCAGAAACAGGTGACAGTTTTTGTGTTGCTGCTGACAGTTTGTGTGCAGCAACAGGTCCGGTATTCTGTCAAAACTTTAATCACGTTTTCTCACAGTCTTTTAGAAATTATTTTAAACTGACGAATTGTGTGACGGAACACCTTGATGTGTCTTGATACTGCTAACTACCACACACCTAACAGATAAATTACTCAATACTTCTTTATTTTTAGTAAAATCTGTAACTGATGAAGGGAGGAGACGAGATTTTGTTTCCCAGCAGGCCTTTTTTGTCTGTTTCTCTGCTCAGAATGATGCTGTCAACTGTAGATTACAGTAAAGAGGTTGGGATGCAGAAAATAGCTTAGAAAAACGGCTAAAAGGATACAAGAAGAGGCAATAAATATCTGTATTTTGTTGTACTTTAAAATGCCAGAACTGAAGTTTTGCATTTTCTAATTTATAAAGGCAGATAAATCAGAGTTTAAAATAAATTGTAACTCATTTCTCTCAATTTAGCTGAGGAAACGTCTTGGGTTTTCTGCTCATCTGTAGAATGTTTATAATGGCATAAAAGTCACTCTACTGCTCTTTGAAGCTCTCGTGGTCTGTGATGACCCACTTCCCTCTTTGGTTGCCTGGTTGACAGATGGTGTAATTTTAACTTAGCAACTCTGCAGAGAATGTCAGCTGCCATTTTTTTCAGAGACAAACCAACAGTACATTGTGGCACAATGTGAATTTCCTCCAAGTATGTGCTTGCATTGCTGTCATACAGTCATATCACTGCACTGATGGTTTCAGATTTTATCAATGGCGCAAACTACTGATGATATTGGCTGAGTCAAATAGTGAAAAATATTTTCTACAAATTTTATTAGTAGAAAATCATCTGATCATTAAAATAATCACCAGCTGCATCCCAAGCACAGCTTGGTTCTTAGATTACTTTTGTTGTGCCTTTACATCCCATTTGAGAAGAACCCATTTGTTTACAAAATATAATAATGATTATTTGTACTGAAACGGTTAATTGTGATGAATCAGTTATTGAAATAATTGCCAACTAATTTAGTAAACAATTAATTAAATGTAGAATATAGTCTCAAAAAGGCCATTTACTTAAAGAACAACACAGCTAGAGCAGTAATGAAGCCAAAGAAGGGCAAAAAATGTATAAGTCCAGCAGAAAGGGCTGAGATTTTCATATGTGTATATTCTAGATAATTTTTTTTAGCATTGGCTACAAATGATCAAGTGTCACTAAAGGAATGCTGTTCTTGCAATTTAGGCAATCAATCAATCAATCAATCAATCAATCAATCAATCAATCAATCAATTTATTTTGGTAAATTGTCCACATTAAACACAGGAAACAAAAAAACCCCACTAATTTACCCATAATTTACCAAAAAAGGAATAGGCTGAAGCCAAGCTTATTCTTGCCTACCCCATTTTATACCCAACCAAGATATCTTCACAATACATGTATAAATCTACATAACAGCATAAGAATTTATCATTTTACATTTTAGAGCTCTTTCAAAGCTCACCAAGAAAGGACATAACTTAAAATCATCATTCAATTCATTCCACAGTTTCACACCAATCACTGAAACACATCTAGACTTTATCTGGCTCTTCTGTTTTGCACATTCAAATATAAACAAACCTCGCAAATGATATTTATTCTCTCTTAACTTAAATAATTTCTGAATACCAGAAGGAAGGCTTTTGTTCAATGCTTTATACATTGTTTTTATTATTTCAAAAATGAATTGAATTTCTTGTTTATTTGCGTATTTTCATGTATTTCTGATACCATATAAGTAAGGCTTAAGCGGTTTAATGAAAAATCTGCAGAATGGGCTTTTTTTCTCTTTTATCCAATCACTAAAATAATTGTTAGTTGCAGCCCTAATTGTGATTAAAGATATTCTTCACATTTTCCATAACAGAATTCCAGTTAATATTTGAGTTCAAACCCCTTTCATATGGAACCTGTAAAACCCACAGACTTTAAAAATGGACAAAGGATGAATGGACAGGCATGCATTAATTTATAGGCAGATGATTGGATTATAATATGGACGATGGGTAGTCTGGTTGATGGATGGATAACTAAAAACTTTGCATCTTTTATTTAAGCTACAATTTTCAAGCTCTGATTGGACCAATTTACCTTTGGAAATGTAGATATTGATCATAATTAATAAAGGACACAGAATGAAACTGCAGAAGATTTAAAATAAATTCTAGATTTATTTAGACCTTGAAAATATTGAAATCAAACTCCTTAAATTTCCAGACTCTTTGAGACTTTATAGGAAGCTTGATGTTGTTTTCTTGTTCTTGTTTCTTTTACAGGTTTCTGATGCAAAGCATCGAAAAGTTTCTCTAGAGAAAACAGTGGAAAAGGCAAAAGTGGGACGAGAAGGAACGGTAAGAGGAAGTGGTATCAAAGAACCTTCACACAGTCATCAGGTTTAGTGCATAAGAATCTGTCTAACAGGGTGTGTGTGTGTGTGTGTGTGTGCGTGTGTGTGTGTGTGTGTGCACGCGTTTATTTGTAATACCTTGTGGGGACGATTTTCCTGACATATACTACGTTGTGGGGACCAATTGCTCCTTGTGGGGACCGGAGCCTGGTCCCCACAAGGGGAAACCCTGTTTTTGGGTCAGGGGTCAGAGTTAGGGCTAAAGTATGAATTGAGTTTTGGTTAGGGTTAGGTATGTGATGGTTAGGGTTAGGAAAAAGGTAACGGTAAGGTTTAGGCTGTAGAAATCAATGGAAAGTCCCCACAAAGATAGCAACACAAACATGTGTGTGTGTGCGTGGGTGTGTGTGCGTGTGTGTCTGTGTGTATAGAAAGAAAGAAGCTCTCTGCTGAAGCAGCTGCAGTCTCTGAGGGAAGAGCGAACAAAGCTGCAAGCCGAGCTGGAGAAGTACCGCGAGTGTGACCCCGACATCATCAAAGAGATGAGTGAGTCTAGTCACCCACATTACCTCACAATTTGTTCAAATGATTAGTTGATCAAATTGCGCTCACTCAATTTGATCATGACCACAGGATTATGCCCTGTGGTCATAATCAAAATGACCATAGGGCATTTTGATTATTTGATCAAAATGCCCTGGGGTCTGATGAGACCAAGATTAATTTGTTTGGTTCAGATGCTCTCCAGCATGTGTAGCAGCAATCAGGTGAGGAGTACAAAGATAAGTGTGTGATGCCTACAGCTAAGCATGGTGGTGGTAATGCCATGGTCTGGGGCTGCATGAGTGCAGCAGGTGTTGAGGAGTTACATTTCATGAACTCCAATATGTACTGTGAAATACTGAAGCTGAGCAGAGCTCCCTCAGGAAACCGGGTCGCAGGGCAGCGTTCCAGTATGACAATGACCCCAAACACACCTCTAAAACGACCACTGCTTTATTGAAGAGGCTGAGGGTGAAGGTGATGGACTGACCAAGCATGTCTCCAGACCTAAACCTAATAGAACATCTTTGGGACATCCTCAAGTGGAAGGTGGAGGAGCGCCAAGTCTTGAATAGCCGCCAGCTCCGTGATGTCATCATGGAGGAGTGGAAAAGCATTCCAGTGGCAACCTGTGAAGCTCTGGTGAACTCCATGCCCAGGAAAGTAAAGGCAGTTTTGGTAAATAATAGTGGCCACACAAAATATTGACTCTTAAGGAACTTTCACTAAGGGGTGTATTCACGTTTGTTGCGGCGGTTTAGACATTAATGGTTGTATATAGATTTATTTTGAGGGAAGAACAAATTTACACTGTTATATAAGCTGCACACAGACAGTGTAAATTTTCATTGAGTCAAAATGTCATTTTGTCAGTGTTTTCCCATGAAAAGATGTACTTAAATATCTGCAGAAATGTGAGGGGTGTACTCACTTTTGTGATACACTGTATATGCATGTTGAAATTATTTAGTTTTTATTGATTTAAGGATTGGAGTAAAAAAAATTAGACTTTTATTTTCATTTGACCTACTGATCGCCATTTC